GCCAGCAAAGCCATGTTCTTCAGGGAAGGTGACCAAGGCCTGGGCATGTGCAAGGGGTCAGGGAAATCCAGGGTTGTGATTGGGGGCAGTCACATTGATTATGCCCTGGTGTGGCAGAGGACTTTGGGATTACCCCCTGGGCTTGGGCCATATCCCTCTGCCCCCTTCCCTTTCCTTTGCTAGGCATGTACTCTACTGTTGAGCCACATTCCTGGTCCTTTTGATTTTATTTTGAGATAGGACCCAAGTTACCCAGGCTGGCCTTCAGCTTGCGATCCTGCCTCAGCTTCCCCAGAAACCTGGGGTGACAGATGTACTACTATGCCTGGTTCTCCTTAAGTGTTTGAGTAATTGAGTAATGGAAACCAGGGTGTGTGTGCAGAAGTAGGGCCTTTGCACAGGCAAGGAAGGTGGGCAGCTTTGCTTGTGCCAGGAATACCCAGCTATTTAGATAGCTGAGGCAAGTGGATCACAAGTTTGAGACCAACCTGAGTAATTGAGGAAGACCTTGCCTCAAAAAGATAAAAAGGGAGGGGGCTGGAGAGATGGCTCAGTGGTCTAAAGCACCTACTTGGAACAAGCTTGGCAAACACAGGGACCGCCGTTCGATCCCCCAGCACCACATGCCAGTCGGCCCCACCCCCTGGTGGGCTGAGCTGCCCCCACACACACATAAATAAAATTAAAAAAAAAAAAAAAAAGACAAAAAGGGTTAGGGATAAAAGTTCATTGTTAGCATGGTTGCCTGGCATGTGTCAGGTCCTTAGTTCAGTCCCCAGTAGTAGGAGGAAAAAACAAACCCTCAAGAAAAGGTGGATCTTATATTAAAGGTTTATTGCTGGTCTCTACAATTAAAGAACATGTAAGATATGAATTAGTTAGTTTTGTGTTATCCAAATTCTTCTGCTCTGCACAACTCGCCCGCTGGCCAAAAGTGCCCTGAAGGCAATCGAGAAAAAAAAAAAAAAAAAAAAAAAAAAAAGTCCTGGGGGCCTGGCCCTAGCTCAGGCCTTTAAGTGGCTGCTTCCACAAATTCTTCTGCTCTGCATGCTAGAACTCCTCTCTGGGGTAGTCTTTCTGCCTTCATCCCTGTGATGGATGAGCTGAAACTTTTTCCCCGTCCATTCCATCTCTTTCTTGGAGGAGCCAGCCCTGTCTTGTTGCATGGGAAAACTGCCATTTGCAAGCCCGAAGCCCCAACAGATGGAGTGACAGATGCCTTGTGCCACATCCACATGGGTTGTACTCTGCCAGTCACATAGGACCACCCCCAAGTCCCTTTCGCACCCCAGGAGGTGTGTGGAGCACAGAGAAGGGTCTGACTGCAGGCTGAAGTCCTATGCAAAAGGTCTGATAGGGTCCAGGACAGCGGTTAGCATTATGGAGGAGACACAGGGACTTGCAGCTTGATTCCCAGATCAGAGTCTCTGAGGAAAGCAAGGTGAAGTCCCCCAGCCCCCCAACAGTGTGACCCTGAAAGACCCAGAGAGAGGCTTTGCACTATTGGCTGCACAGAGGAAACAATTCTCTTTGCCTGGCCAGAGGAGACTGAGTGTTGAGGAAATGGCTGGTTCTGTTGACTGGAAAGTGAGCCTGGGCCTCTGGTAAACCAGAAACAGGAGAAACTGAAGGATTTCAAGGGACAAGGCCACCTGGAGACCAGTGGAGATCATGTAGTGTTGGGTTCTACCTGGAGTTCGAAGTGAATATCCCTGAAACCATAGTGATAAAGGTGATTATAGATGTACAGCAGTGGAAGACAGCAAGTCCAGTGTATAGGTGACTTCTTCAGGAGGTGGCCCCTACTGCCTGCAGAGTGCAGGCCTGATTCTCTCTGTTCAGGGCAGGGCCTGGGCAGGACACCCAGCCAGAGGCCTTAGCACAGCAGGCTCAGGAAGTGAGCAGAGCCCCAGGAACCTACAGACACAAGCAACATGTGACACCCTGTTTTGGCTCTTGGAACAGAAAGAGAACATTAATGGAAAAACTGGTGAAGTAAAAATAAAGTCTGGAGTTGAGTTAATGGTGACAAACTAATGTCGCCTCTTTTTGACAAATGCTCGCAAAATATGTCAACAAGGGGGAAGCTGAGTGAGGGGGTTTGAGAATCTGTTGCAACTTTTCTGAGAGTCTTAAGATTATTCTAAAATTGAGTTTAGTTTTGAGGGTGTGTGTGTGTGTGTGTGTGTGTGTGTGTGTGTGTTTGTGTGTAGAGGGAGGCAGATAGCCAAGGCCCATGACATGGGGATTTTTTACTGATGTACAAATAGGAGATATGGAAAGGTATAGACTGGAAGTAAACAGATGTTTAGTGAAAAAGGGGTGGTTGCATTTCTTCTAGAAGTGTTGAAAATGTGCAGATTCCCAGCTGAAAGCCCAGGAGCTACATCAGGTCTCCTCTGTACACTTCCTGCTGCTAAGCAGGCCCAGTGAGGTCTCCCAGATGTGTCTCACTAGGCATCGCCATCACGATCCTGACTTCTGCTCCAGGACTGCATGGCCCCCCACAGAGAGCTCACCTGTGGGACCTGTAATGCTTACAGCTGGGCAGTGCACCATTTAGGACTGAGTTGGGAGGGATCAGACGCTACTTGCCAACAGGAGGGAGGCAGGTGGAAAATGAGAGTCTGAATACTGGTATGAGGGTGTTTGCAAATTAACGACCTGGGAATAATTGACTTAGAACCTTTGCCCACGCACCCTGAGACTCGGGCAACCCCAGGCTGGAGATAGGTAGAAGGCGGGGGGTGTGGAAGAGATCTCCAGAGCAAAACTGGGGATGGAGAGCTTCCAGGACTGTGGAGAGGCTGCCCTGAAGAGGCAGCCTGCCCAGTGGCTGGGAACTCCTGCCTTAGTTTCCCTTTCCCAACTCTGCTTTCCTTACAGTGCTCTTTGGCCACTTACCGTGCTTCTTTTGGCAAAGTGATTTCAATGGTGCTTTTGAGTATCATTCCACCAGAATGAACCCAAGTGGCAGTTCTTAGATATGACCAGTGTGCCCTTAAAATCGAATCCGTAAGGAGCAGAACCTTGAATGGCCACTTTGGTATAGACACACACATTGAGGAATTTCAGCATCCATCAGGAGACAAGATAGTTTTAAAATCTGAATTGTATATATTACAAATATTTTGCTTTTTACCTATCAAATTACAAAAATAGATTTTACAGTGTTTTAAATATACATATATAATATGTATAAACAAAATATACATATATCATATCTGTCCATATAATTAAATTTGTCAAACAGTAGAGCACTTGAGTGACTATTCTCCCTTCATTCTTAGATGAGCAGGATTTTTTTTAATGAGCAGAATATGTTTATTGAGGGAAAGAAAGCGGACAGGAAGGGACAGGTAGAAGGGACAGGCTTGCAGAGGCCTTTCCTTGCTGCCCAGGGCAACGTGCTCTTTTGTTGTGTAGCTAACACCTTTCTGTTGTCCAGTACCTTTCCATGATAGTACTTGCCTGAGAAACCCTTTCGCATTGTAGGCAATCACCTAGTCAGCTGGAAGTTTCCAAACTTGTCGTGGAGGCTGACAGGTGAGCTTACCTAACTCTTCTGTCAGGGAGCTGAGTCTGCTGATGGGACCAGGGCTTGCACCCCTGACTCAAGTCCACAAGAGCTGGCTGCTCCCTAGATGGGGTGGGGGTGGGGCTGGGGCTGTAGGAACCATGATTGTGGTGAAAGTCCTTGCATTTCATCAGTCAAAGACGTCTTAGCCCCAAGAAGGTTAAGAATGCCTTTGCTTAGCTTCTGAACAGGACTGCATGTCAGATGTGATGGCACCTTCCACATGCACGGGTGTGAGGTCCCTCTGTTCCCTTTGTAGGGTGTCTTCAGTCACACACAGTACTGGGTGGGAGAGCTGCTTCTCCCGTGCTTCTCTCTAGTGTTTTTACTTCTGTTACAAGTCTAGCGAATCCCACTTCCCTTTCAGATTACCCTAATTTACATTGGGGACAGGGTTAAATATTTGCTGTATCTCCCTGGCACGACCCCCCTCCCCCCCCCATTGAGCTCAGGCCCTTGTGCTTGCCAGGCAAGCGCTTATTCTACTGAGCCATCTCCCCGGCCCAATCTTTAATATGTTTAAATGTCAGTAGAACAATTAAAGGTTCACAGAGGAAAAATGGAATTTTATTTTCTTTTTTTAGCAGTGGAGGGAATTGAACCTAGAAAGTCTATCCATGTTCAGTGCAAATGTACCCCCAATTATTTTATTTTTTTCTACCCCATGCATTTTTAAATGGAGAAACCCACAGATATAGAGGGCTGATTATATGTATAATACTTATTTTATTTATTTATTTATTTATTTATTTATTTATTTATTTATTTATTTTTGCAGAACTGGGGATTTAACTCAGGCCCTTGCACTTGCCAGGCAAGCACTTATTCTATTGTGCCACTTCCCCAGGCCCCCTTAAAATACTTACTTTAAAAGCCCCATTATATGTCAATAAAAAGTTTTTATTTTAACTTATTTTCCAAAACTAAAATGAGAAGTGGCATTATGTTACATTTATGGAAGTTTTACTGTCTGATAAGAAGACTGCTTGCTTGTCATATCTGCTTCTGTTTTTTCAAATGCTGTGATGTTTGTTGAAGTACGTGAAGCAAATACTATAGCTTAACACAGAAAAAGGAAGTGTTACTCTAGCACGGTCTTTAATACCATGCCCCCCTTCACAAGCTGTGGTTTTCTGGAGGTTAGGTAGTGTAGTACCTGAAATGAGTTGCTGCGTTTTTTTACTTTGATCATAAAACCCCTTGCTTGCCTTGCACTTCCAGTGGGCCGCTCACTCATGCATGATTCTCTGCTCTGGTCATGTGGAACTGTGGTTATCAAGTCATACAGGTCTAAAATCGAAATCACTGCTCTCTTACCTGATCTCTTTAGGAAGATCTTCGGTGCTGGGAAGATCTAATACTTACAATGAATGATGAATATAAAATTCTCCAAAAATGGTTAAAATCTCACATTTTATTATTATTTTTATTTTTTGGCAGAAACCAGGGATTGAACTCAGAGTTTTATTATTAGCAGTAAATGTTAATTGTTTTTCTTGAAGAAACAAGTTCACTTTGTTCGTTTTTAAGGAAACAGCTAGCTGATCCACGGATTTGAACCGCTGCTCACGTGACTGTTGCAGTGCCGTTTGGCTCTCCCTGATGACCTTTGACTTGACTCAGATACAGGAGCCAGGGCCCCGCAGAACTTCAAAACGGCGCGGGGGTCAAGATCAGTGAAATACATAGTAGTTCTGACCACAGCTTCATTAAGGGCATTTGTAAAGGAAATGGCCTTTAAAAAAAATAGTGATAATAACCTGCTCCTGTGTGGGGGTGAAGAGGGGGTGACTACTGGTTTCATCTGTGGTCACTGCCCCGCTTGGTGCTCAGATGCCAGGAGTCCTCACTACAACCGCCTCTGGTGTCGCGCACCCCCAGTGTCATGTTAACACAGAGCAAAGGCAAATACAGCCCTGTGTCGTTCTAAACATAGCGCTGACCTCTGAGAAGGCCTTGGGGACTCCGAGGCAGCCTCTAGCCAGAAGCGTGGCGCCACCTCCCAGCACTGCAGCTTTCTTTGGTGCTGCCTTTACTGTCAGCGGCGGGCACTACTCCCGGGTGGGCCACCTCCTCCGGAGCCGGCACGACCCTGGCCGGCATGCGACCCTGGCCGGCATGCGGCGTCCACGGGGCGGGGTGCACGCCGCAGCCCTCAGGTTTCCACCCGCGGGCCCCTCCCTTGGACTGCTCTTCCTCCAGTACAGCTTGGGTGTCCTGCCTGATCCTGGGGGTCCCAGTTTCCGTTGCACTTCTTCCAGTGCTGACTCTTCAGCGGTTTAAATCCTGCTTTCGGTTTTATGGTCAGTTCCTTCATTACTTATGGACTCAAACGGATTGTTTTGCATTGCGTGGTGCCTCAAAATGAAGAGGTCTTGTACAGGTTGTCTCCTTGTAACGGAATCAAAACTGAAAGCGAAGTGAAGCAAGTGTGACCCGGGTGACTAGTGTCCTGGCTGCGGCCTGGGCGCGAGCGGAGTGCGCAGTGGTTTCGCGGGCGGTCTCCGGGCTACAGCCGGTGCTGGGTGCTGGGTGCTCGGTGCTCCTTGCAGGGACCTGGGAGCCCCGCCCCGCCCCGCCCTCTAGGGCCGGGCTGTACCACCCACTTTCCTGCGGGGGAGCGCGCGGAGCGGGTCGAGCGGTGGCCGCGACTTCTGCAGGCCGCTGCGGCGGGATCGCCCCCCTCCCCAACGCCCCGCGGGGCCGATGGACGCGGGTCCCCAACTGCGCAGGTGAACTCCCGGAGCGAGCGCGCAGGACAAGTGGCGGCGGGGAAAGCGGGGGTCGCGGCGGCCGTCGGGTGGGCCTTGGCGGGCGCGTGGGGCGGGAAGTGGCGCCCGGTTCCGCCGTGCAGCCCGCGCTGTATCCTTAGGCGTCGGCCCGGACTCCTTTTAACCCGCCGGGTCCTGAGCGGGACTTGGGCAGCCGCGCCAGTGCGAGCGCGCTTAGGGAGGCGGTGGGCGCCGGCCGGGGTCCGGACTCCCCCTGAGTCCTCACGGGCTGGGGCACGGGGCGGCTGAGGAGCCGCGGTGCCGCCTCCCTCGGGCCGGTGCTGCTGACCAGGAGTGAGAGTGGCGAGAGGGACAGGGCGCAGTGCAGGGCTCACTGCTGTGTGCGCGACGGCGGCGTTCCGGGGAAACTGAGGCACTCGTGCGGACGCGCACCCTCAGCCGCGTGGCGTGTCGCCTCCCACGGGGACGGAGCAGCAAGCACCCGGGCTGGTGTTTGACGCAAGACCCTTACTTGGGGAGGTTCCCCAAGGCTCGCCAGGCTTCCGGTCGAGACCGCGACTAGAGAAAGGGATGCTAAAATGTTGACATTGGGGTGGGTCTGACTTTGAAATGTTTTTCTTAAGAAATAAGAACCTCCTTGTAACACCTCCATTTTATATTTAATCTTTTCAACTTGTCGGTTTATCCACCATGACCATTTTATTGATTGATCTGATTGTTCGTAACCCGGGGCCCAGTGAGAAGAAAACCTGGATGAGTGGTTGAGAAAAGAAGGTGCTTCTTTAATTTTGGTAATTTTTAATGGAAACTTTAGTAATTCTTTTAGCCAGAATATAGACAGAAAACTATAGTATCCATTGTGATATTACCACAAGTAGAAACCACATATATTTTTGTAATCTCTTTATAGTTCATGTAGATGTCTTAAAATAACATATTCATCACTTTTATGAAATTAAGGAACTGCTTATCTAGAGTAAACCAGTAATAAAAAAGACAATACGATAAAAATACAGTGAAAATTTAAATTTTAAAAATTACTGCAAACATTCTCAGTAACGCCCCCCCCCCCTCCCAAAATACTCTCCGTGTAGCTATTGCATTGTTTTGCCTCTGAAGCAGTTCTGGAAGGTTTTTATGTCTTCAGTTGCACTGTTGTGGCTGTCTTTGGATAATGAATTGATTCCAGACCTTTTCCCTTCGTGGTCATTTTGACCTTGGGGAAGACCAGAAGTCACACGGTGCGCGCCAGACTTGGTACATAAGGTGGATGAGGACTGTTATGGATTTAGGAGTTGCTTTTCTGTTGTATGGCGCTCAGCAGCAGCATTCACAGTGTTTTTCCCCATACCTCGTGGACAATAAGGAAAGAGGACTCCTAGGACCACTTCAGAAAGTGGCAAGAACGATGGGATAAGTGTGTTTGAAGCAAGGGGTATCCATGTGTCTTGTGCTGAAAGAAAGTTTTAAAAACTTGTAAAGTTTTTAAACACTAGTTTTTGGTCAGCCTTTTTTTTTGGTGGAACCAGGGATTGACCTCAGGCTCTTGCACTTGCCAGGGAAGCGCTTATCCCACTGAGCTATCTCCCAGCCCAGTCAGCCTTTTCTTTTTTTAATACTATTGTCTTTTTAATGACTTGATGGGTTTATTTTTATGTAATCTGTTCCTTTTGTATCATTATGTGTTTCATTTAATATATTTCTTTGCTGCACGTGAGCACCGTTACTTACCGTCTAGGCACCTGGCACAAACTTGTGGATGGAGATACAGCTACTTTGCTTTGTGAAGTCAAGTCAGTACTGAAAGTGCTCACTCAGTAAGTGTGGGGATTTGAACCCAGATGTGAGCAACTGTGGTGCCCGAGCCCTCTCTAATGATCAAAATAGAATAAAATGGATGGTAAATTGAATGCTGTATGTGCCAGACACACCTTAAACAGCTTTAATGGGATTACGTCTGGTTCTCCTCAGTCCCTTCCATGGTAGATGCTTTTATTAAACCCTCCTGGTACTTGAGGAAAGTGAGGAAGGGTCTTGCCCCAGCAGCCCTTCCTCACATGTGCTGCCTCTTAGCTGGATGAGGTAAACCCTGAGAGCCAAGTGGGGGCAGCAGGCTTGAGCTGTTCTTCTGCAGTGCCTGTGTCTCGGTGGTGGTCGGAGTTGCTAGCACTGTGGGCAGCCCTGTGCCAGCAGCAGAGGAGCATGCCGTGGGTCTTTCCCATGCTCTGCCTGGCTCCAGACATGTCCTTGAGCGAGGAATGGGGAAGAAGCCGAAGGCCGCTGTCTGTTATTTTCATAGCTGCATGTTGAGAGCCTATCTTACGAGTTGCAAATACCCTGTTCTTCACTTATACCCATAGTGTGGTCTGGGCTTGTTCAATATTGTGCTTTGTAGGAGAGTAGTTGGTCTTTGTGATCCAAAGAGAACATAAGGAAAAAAGTCAAGCTATTTTTGGGTTTCAGGGAAACCCCAGTGCTGGGCCAAGTTTCCCTGACTAGTGCTGAGGGATGCAGAGACGTGACTTGGGGCGTATTACATTGGGCAGAAACCTTCACCATCTGTCACATGCAATATCTCTTTGCTTTTGACACAATTAATTCAGATCCACTGGACTTAATTCATAGTTCAGTGTTGAGTCACAGTAGTTTCATTGTAGACTGGAGTAATTTATAGAACTAGATGAGGACTCGGGAACCTTGGGGATGGTGCAGTAATGCCAGTGAACATGAGCACTAACCCTGGCAGTTTTCTCCAGGTAACAGGCCTCCTGTAGGGCACTGCCATTCTAGACCTGGCACCTGTGGTAGGTCCGAGGTGATCTCCATGGGAATGTGCAGTCCTCTATAGGCAGCTCCTGAGGGTAAGACTAATCTCTTTAAACTAGAAGTACTTTGAGGAAGGAATTGCCTTGGCTTGTGGAGCTTTTTAGAATTGAGGTTATATGTTTATCTACCTCATCCCAAAACCTAGACGTAAGACATTTTTGCTTTAGTTTTGTGTTTTGATTACATTTACTGAATAACATGTGAATTGTCTAGGCTTTTAAAAATTAAAAGGTTTGGTCACTGTTTCGGAACAATTACTGGTAGGCACTTTGATTTGGCACAGTGGGGAAAGGGTACCCTGGAAACACAGCCCCCTGCAGCTCTGTGCATGTGCTTCCCTTGGAACCTTGAAGCATAGCAGACACAGTGGACACAGTTGCCAGAGGGAATCCCAGTGGACTAGTTCTCTTTAAAGTGAAATAGCTGGGGCTGGTGAGATGGCTCAGTGGTCTAAAGCACCTACTTAGAACAAGCTTAGCAAAGCACAGTGGACCGCGGTTCAATCCCCCAGCACCACATGCCAGTCAGCCCCGCCCCCTGGTGGGCTGAGCTGGCCACACACACACACACACACACACACACACTAAATAAATGTAAAAATAAATAAATAATTTAAAAAATAGAGTGAAATAGCTGCAGATCATACTTTAGTTTCTAGATTCTTTTTTCTTTTATCTTTTTTATTTATTTTTTTTTTTTAAAGGTAGGATCTCCCAAGTTCAGGTTAGCTTTGAACTCAAATGTGTCCCAGGCTGGCTGGCCTCAAATTTATAGCAGTCCTCCTACCTCAGCCTCCTGAGTGTTGGGATTACAGGTGTGTGCCACTATACTTAGCTAACACCTTGCAGATCCTGATCTAGAGTACATGGATATTATTCTTTATGAAAATATAAAAAAAAAAAAAGCTGGGCAGGGTGGCACATGCCAATTGTAATCCCAGCACTTGGCTGAGTGAGGCAGGTTTGCTGTGATTTTTGAGACTAGCTGGGCTACATAGTGAGTTCAAGACCAGCCTGAACTACACATGACACCCTGTCTCAAGAAAGAAAATAGCATTTCCTCTTCAACCTAACAGTTTGTGGGTATCCTTTCCTATGTGTATTAGCTTGCATTGTACTGAGGAGTCATGTTGGTGGACCAAATCAAGATGAGGACTTTTTATGAATCTCCATGTCCTGACCCTCACTGAAGCATCCCTGAACTCTGGAAAGGCGTATACTCTGGGCCAGCCAAATAGCTCAGCATATGTGCAGGGGCCGCAGGGGCGAGCATGGTGATGCGTTCCTGTAATCCCAGCACTTGGGCGGCTGTAAACAGGAGAATCACTACGAGTCCTATCTAGTAGTGAGACCCTGAACACCCTGTAGACCCTTTCCAAAAAAAATACAGGGGCAAAAAAAAGAGTATACACGTAACTTCAGCTGCCAGGGACTAGCAAGTTTTCAAAAGCACCTGAGAAGCCCTGGCCCCACCTCACCCCAGGGTGGGCGTCTATATGGGTGGAGAAGTTGAGCTTGCCTTTTGGGGCGGGTGGCATCTGATGGCTGTGGCAAACAGCTTGTCAAAAGCAAGACTGCAAGAGGAAGTTAGGTTTCATCAACTCTCCCACGGGTCATTTTCTTTTGAATTTGACTCATGTTAATGAAGCTTAAAAAAAAAAAAAAAATCAGTAGGCAGATTGTTCCTGAGATTAGCTGAGCTGGGTTTTGGTGCATATCTTTTCTTTCTCTCTCTCTCTCTCTCTCTCTCTCTCTCTCTCTCTTTCTTTCTTTTTTGAGACAGGGTCTTGCTATGCAGCCCAGGCTGGCCTTGACCTTATTTTATAGCCCAGGCTGGTCTTAGATTTACAGTGATCCTCCTGCTTCAGCCTCCTGAGTGCTGGGATTACACATATGTGCCACCATGCCCGGCATATCTTTGATTCTGCCCAGCATATATTTGGTTCCGCTTTCAAACTGGCACAGCCCCAGCTTTGCCCTGCCCTGTGCGCCCACTATTGACTTATGAGCCAACTCCCTGGATGCAGAGCCATGCAGGCTCAGTGTGCACCAATATCAAAGTAGAATGTTACTGTATCTTGGAAAGTACAGTTAAAGGAAGAGCTTTTGAGTGGAGATAACACATACAGTATTTTGACCACGTAGCCACCCCATATCCCTGTATGACGCCAACAT